TTTTTGGGAAAAAAAGTTTTTAATAATAATAAAGTAGAATGGAATACATTAAATCGCGAGTTATTCTCACATCGATAACTCACAAGAACGCCAGAAACATTCTTTTAAATAACAATAAAAATTCAACGCTTCTATTACCACTTATAGGATATAATAATAAAAATAGTAATAATATAAGAGAAAGTTTTATGAATAGAAGAACAATTAGCAATTATGTGAGATCTGGTTTTTCTAAAGGAATGAATCAAAATCTTCGATTATCTACAACAAACAATAAAAACATTTATTATAATAGTCTATATTCTAATCATCTAAATCCTATTAAAAGATGTAAAGGAGTTTTATTTGATATTCATTCATTTACAAGATCAGATAATAACAATTCATCTAAGCTAAATAGGAATTATACAATCAATGCAACGTCAAATAGTAGTGGTGACGTTGTTGATGGTGGTGGTAGTAATATTGGCGTTAGAGATGTAAATGATATTGCTGGCAATGTTAATGTTAGTCATGTTAGTAATGTCAATAGCGATTTTAACGTTAATAATATTGATAGTAGTGGAATTAATAGTAGCAATTATGGAGTCAATCAAAATAAAAAAATATTATTAAATGTTTTAGAAATTTTAAATGATTTTTCTTCAATAGAAGAATTCAATGAAGATATAACACATCGAATTAAAAAAAATCCACAGAAATTAACCCAGGTAGAAAGAATGTATTCAAAACTGAACGATTATGGAATAACTCCAAATACAACATAGTTTTGGTTTTGTTGTTGCTTCTTGAATAGTCAAGAAGTCAATTGTGTAAAGGTCTATATGACCAGTTTTTAGTTGTGAAGTTGCTGGTGGATTCATCCAACTAAAATTTAAGTTTTTTAAATATGTGTGAACTTTGTTAAGTTTGTTAAGTAAAAGTTTAAAGAATAGCACTTTTAATTTCTCTTAAGTTGTAGAAGGGGGAATTTTTTTTTTTTCTTGTGAGCTGTGGCCATGATGAGAAAAGAATTTTAAATTTATAACTAGAAGAAATTCATGATAATAATAATAATAATAATAATAATAATAATAATAATAATAATAATAGTGGTAGTAGTGATTGCAACAAGCACATAAATCACATCCAGATGCATATCATATAAGTAGAATATTAGATGAGGAGATCGCTAAATCAAAAAGCTTAAAAAGTTACACAAGTAATTATAGCCTGTTAAATAATCTCTTTTCTCTAGAATATGAATAAAAATTTCATTGGAGCTTATTATCCATTAATTATCACTAACAATATTTTTTATTGCCTTAGATTTTAATAATCAAAAGAAGGAATCGATCAATGACTAATTTAATCTCCTAAATTATTTGTTATAATTATTTGTCTTTTTATTTTATCTTTATTTTATTTCTTAAAGCCAAATTATTTCGAAATAATATCTTTTTAAATGGTGGTATCATTTCGGTTAATTAACAGTTATAGCTTAACTTTTGGTTACTCTTGTTAGTTAATTGCAAATAATTCAATATTTGCCAATTAATTAGTCTACAAATTTAATTTGGCTCTCTCTTTCTTGCACCTATACAAATTTGTGAGCACACTCGATTAAAGCTCGGTTTCGGTTTTTAAAAAAAATTTTCAATTACAGTCAAACTCTCGCTTTAACGAACTTCGTCCCAGCGAGTTATAATTAAATTCGCGTTTCAACGAATTTTTAAAATCTTGTTACACAAAATAATTCGTTGAAACGTGATTAGTAATCTCGTTTCAACGAATTTTGAATGAAATTTTCTTATATATATGTCCAGCCACTTCGTTGTAACGAGGTTTGACTGTACAAGCTTCTCATATACAATTAAATTAATTAGTAGCACTCTAATTACAAATATTGCACTTAATTACTATTTAGCAATTTAATTATGGAATCTGCTGCACTTCTTGTGTAATTGCGATTCAGTTATTTAATCCCGAAATGGTTCTTCAAGTACTAGTACGAAATCGCTCCAAGCGTAAATCTACGTTAATTTCTATTAATTACAATACATTATAATGTTATCGAAATAAATAAAATGTAATAAAATAAATTATCAAAATAGATTAATGCGAAATTAGAGAATTTTTTTCATGTAATGGTTGGACCTCCTATTGCTGCGCCACGCGCTCAAATTTCAAATATTGCGATTTCGTGATTCGTTAACACAAAAAAAAGATTTAACATTTGCCGTGTCACGATCTCCTTCCAAAACTCGCAAGTA